ATTAATTTCAATGAATTAATTAATAAATGTAGAAAGTATTAAATTAATTAAATAATTAAAAATCGAAATTAACATCATAAAAGAAGTTAAAAACATGTAATTAAAAATATGATGGATGTCATGGAACATTGATTCTACAATAACTAAACATGTATTGTTGACTTACATGAAGAATACTCGTGGAGGGATTATTCTCTGCTGAGGCAGGAACAATAGACACAAGTTCTATTAATACTTAATTAACTACTTTTTATCTCTATAATAAATAAATTTGTTTATTTAAATTAAATATTCTATTTGATATTATAATGAAACAATAATATAAATTAATATAAAGAGTAGTTAATAATCAAAATAACAAAATAAATTATTATGAAATAATAATGATAAAAATAACAATAAAAGAAATAAATTAGAAAATACATTATTTATTTCAATTAATTTCATGTTATTTGTTCATATTATATTATTATTAATTATGTTCTTATTTAACTTCTTTCTAATTTATTATTTAAATTGAATGTACATAAATATTTATATATTATTATAAATAATGAATTATATTTGTTATTATTATTTATTTATTATTTTGTTTTCATTATTATTTGTTATTTTAATATTATTATTCTTTATATTCATTATCTTATTTTCATTATATGATTATATTATTTAATATTCTGATATATTATTATATATTTTCATTCTTTATTATTATATTTATCATTTTGATTATTGAATATATCAATATGTACATAATATACAATATAAATACAAATAAATGAAATATTTCATCATTTAATTAATGAATCAGATGATATTAATCAATAAGAATTATTTATTTGTATCATAAACAATAATATAATGAAATCATAAATAATAATAAAATAAAATGAAATATGAAAATTAACAACAATAATCATTAATCAACAAATTTCATTAATGAAATAATCAAAATATAAAATGGAATTCACCATTATATTCTCTCATTTCTAAATAATTTTAATATAAATTAAAACAAAATGATGAATAAAGAATGAATAAGTATAAATAAGATAAAATAAATAAGAAATAATAAACAAAATAAAATAAAGATATAAAATAAAAAAAAGAAAGAAAAGAATAAGAATAAAAAGAAATAAAGAATAAAAAAGAATTATAAAACAAATATAAAGAATGATATATCAATATCAAACAATAAGAGAGAAAATACTAATTAAATTATTTAAAAATTGAAATTAACATTAATATTGATATTAAAATATTATATTTAACAATATGATAATTCATTTGATTCATTTATAAGATTATATTCAAATATACATATAGAAATTAATTAGTAATAAAAAATGAACAGAATTCATATTGGAAAATAATGAGCATTGTATATCATTTTTATTACTTAATTAAATAATAATTTTTAAATAATTAATTAAAACTTTCATTTAATTATATGTTTTTATTAGATTAAAACATATTTCTCATTTTTTTTTGAATGGATTACCTAATGCTGATTTTTCTCTTTATTTTAATTCTTTCATTTTTCTTTCAACTTCTGTCCAAATCTCTTTCATACTATTTTTTGAAGCCGATTTTTTCATAATATATTCTGTTATGTCATTTGATTGTTTAAGTTCTTTATATCCTCTTATTCGTTCTTGATATCCACTTTTCTTTTCATCATTTTCTGTTTGAATTAATTGGTCTAAATATTCATTAAATCCATTAACTTTATTATTTGGTGCAATTTCTGATAATCTATTAATGAGCTCTACTATTTTTACTTGTTTATCATAACATTCCGTTTGAATTTTATAATATTCTTCTTCTAACTTTTTTAACAGATTTTCTGCATTAGCCATACCTTTTTTACCTTCATTATATCTTTCAAGTACTTCTTGTGCTGTTTGTTGTTTTGTTTCTGTTATATAATCAAATCTGTATCTTGAGCCTGTATGTCGTGTATAATGACACCCGCATATTTTACAATATCCATTATCACCAATACAATAACAACCATCTTTTATATCTCCTTTAATATCACATGGATAATGACATGTTCTATTACATCTCAAACAATTAGTTATATATTCTCCTGGTTTTAAGTTAATCATTTTTTGTACTGTTACATTAACAGTATAAGTAAAATCTTGATTATTATTAACTTTATCACGATAAAAACTAATTTGTTCATATGTACGTTTTATTTCACTCAATTTTGATAAAGCATTATGTAACGGTTTCCTTAACCCTTCAATTTGGGTATTAATTTGTTCTCTTATCTTTAAAACTTCTTCTGCTATTATGTTAATTGTATTGTCATACAGAATAGATGATAATTTTAATGATTGTTCGTCATCAGTTAGGATTTTAAATCCTTTTTGGTTTTCAAATACAAATTCTTTTGGAATATTTTTTACATTTTCAATTTCTTTTCTGATATCTGAAAGAAAAAGGTTCTCATTTAATTGTTTATTTATTAATGGTTTTCCATTCAAACATATTCCAACAGTTACAATATTTTCTTTCTCATTTTTAAGATTAATTTCATCATTATTTATTATATCTTCTATTAAAAATTGTTCTTCATCTTCTTTTTCAATTATTTCATTATCAAGTGTATAGAAATGTGCAGATTCTGGAATACTTTGATTTGATTTTCTAATATCACTTAACTTTCTTTTCTTATCCACTTGAACAGTGGTAAGTATTTTATCATTTAATTTTATTTTTACTTCCATTTTATCTCCTGTTTCTTTGATATTTATTATTCTTGATTCATTAATTATATCTCCTATAGTAAAACGCTCTTCATCACTTATATCAATTAATTCTCCGTCTTTTGTTAGAAATTGTTGAAAATCACATACCTTTTCTTTTAACTTCTCCCTAACTGTTTTCAAATTGTCTTGTGAATTCATTGGTTTACTTGAAATAAATTGTTCATTCAAATAGAATCTTACTATTACTCTTGACATTTAATGAATAATAAGTTTGTTTTGTAGTTTAAATATTGATAATTCAGAAAATATGTTATTTATTTAAAAATATTACTTCTTTTCTGATTGGTTATTTCTTTTAAACATCATTCGTTTTAATTTTTTATTCTGTTTTATTTTTATATTTTATTATGTTTTTATCGTTAATTATGTTTTCATGAAATAACATTACAAAAAAGTTTTCATCAATGTAAAATTTCAAAATAATTTAATTATTCTTTATTTATTTTTATCGGTTTTCTTGAATTGAATTTTCTTTAAATTAAAAATAGATAAAATTATTTGATTTATTTCGTATTTTATTACAATTTCTTTCTTGTTTATTCTTTTAATTTTATTGTTAATACCTTTTCTTTATTATAAAATTATAATAACATTGAAGGGGTAACGATTGTTATATATAAAATTATTGTCTTTTGTGTTTCAATTATTTCAATTTCATTTATATTTCTATCTTTATTCTTTTTCTATTATTATAATTAATTTTTATTTTGTTTATTTGACCTTATCTCTTGTTTTATTTTCTTCATTCTTTTTTCATTAAACTC